AAAATAAGCTATTTCAGCCAAATAAGAGCATAATTGAAGCAATCTTGAGATGAATGAAAGAAATGAGCAAAGTGGAAGCAAAATGAAGCAAGTGGTGGAAGTTCAGCAAAGTTCGATCGATCACATAATTTCTTCGATCAATCTGACATAGATCAATCTCTGCACTCCAAGATGGATCCAAGCTCTTTTGCCCTTATCCAAAGATCCCACAATGTTCGATCGATCCAACATTTATCAGATCGATCAAATCTTATTCTGTTGTACCACCCCACCTACCACTTTTGTCTCTTTCCCAAAATATCTCAAAAATATCTCAGATTTGTCTTTATCCAAAAAGGCGATGCCATGGGAGGATCAATCCAGCCAAAGTTTGATAGATCTCAGCCAAGTTCGATCGATCTCAGCATTCGATCGATCGAACCCTCTCAAGTGCGAATTAAATCAATTTTCAGCTCATTAAAAGTTATCTCATGGTGCAATAATTGGAGGAGCCCTTGTGATTTGAGCTACCTATATAAGGATTATGAGCCACTTTTACACATATGCTTTTATGTGTTTAGATACAACATTTTGGTATTTTTTCTTAAAGAGGAAGAAAAGAGAAGAGGAGGCTAGAGACACATTCTTGGGAAGTCTTCCATCTACCTCAAGAAGAAGAGCATTTCTACCGTGGAGATAGCCCTTGAGGGTTAGAGGACACCATCCATGAGTGGCTAGACATCCTCTTGGGGCTAGAGTTAGCCCTAAGCATGCCTTCTTTACCTTGATTTATGTATTTTTTTGGGAATTTATGTTGTAATACATGTTTTGACATTTTTATATACATAGATCTTGTTTATTCAATGGTTTGTGTGGTTTAATTCTTCCAATTGATCATTTCATTCTATCCATATGTCTATGTATGTTAGAATAGATGTTTATGTGTTTATCTCTAACTCTTGTATTGTTGATGCTATAATCTAGAGATTGTCAAGACATAGTGCTTAATAGAATGCTCTTGTGGTTTATTTGATGGTTCATACTCATTTCTTGATGGATTATGCCTCTCCCTTAGTTTAATTTTTATGTCATTAGCTTAGATGTAGTGTAGTTACCTTAGTTGTTAGATGGGAGGACAATCCATGCTTGTTGTTTGATGTTTCATACTTATGAATGCAAGTAGTATATTTCTATAATTATGTGATGTGTTTAGATTGTGAGCTTAAAGGAATGATTAATGGTTTAGTTTGATATATTGTGCTATTCATTGTATTGTTTAGACAATATATACTTAATTGGTCATCCATACTTGTTGAAACAACCACACACACTCACTATTGTTGCAACATATGTCCCCTTATTAATTATGAATTGAGTGTATAGAAAAGCGATGCTTAGTGGTGACCTCTAAGTCCCAAGACCTCTCTCTCTTGTTTTCTTTATCCTTTAATTACTTATTTTATATTGAGTTTGTTTAGTCTTAATTTTAGTTTAATCCACCAAACCAACCACATTTTGATCACTTGACCTACTAACCCTAATCTTGTTTCCATAGTAACACGACCCACCAATCCCTTGGGACTATCCCTACTCACCCTAGCTATATTTTTAGTTAGAGGTAGTAGTGGCTTTTATAAATTTAAAACTTGGCTACATTGCACACTCACACTCTTAGTTCATCTCTTTGCAAACTTTTGGTGCACCCGCGGCTCAAACCACCAGTGACCTGGAGGAGTAAGAAGCAGAATGTGGTATCGTTGTCTAGTGCAAAAGCTGTGAATACCGTGTTCTTCATCATGCAATTACAGAGCTTACTTAGTTAAAGATTCTCTTAAGTGGACTTGGGTTTGGTCCAAAGAAACCTATGTTGATTTTTTGTGATTATATGGTAGCTATTGATAGTGCTAATAATCCAATGCAACACAATCGAACTAAGCATATTGAACTTGACCAAAACTACATCAAGGATAACCTGGATTCTGGTGTGATAGAGGTTCCTTACATTAAGAGTGCGGACCAGCTGGCTGATATGATGACTCATGGTGTTACTAGTGGTCCGTTTCATACATCATTATCCAAGTTTGGCATATGCAATATCTATGCACCAACTTGAGGGGGAGAGTTAGCGTGTATAGCTATATAAATATCCACATATCTATGTTTTTTCCTTACTTATCTAGAAGTTAATGTATTAGCTGTCAATTTAATTGTATAGTTAGTTTACCTTAAATAGGTCTGTGTATTCTGTATAAATACCTGAGATATATGAAAGTAAAGAATCTTTTTCAGCCATTTGTCAATTGTATACTATTTGGGTCTACAATAAATTGAAAAAAATACCAGTAGCAGTTGTAGGTTGTGCTATGCCATCAGAATTGTAATATATATTGACAAAGAGCCAAGTACTTGTTGCTAGCTAATTTTTGCAGGTTCTGCTTCTTTCTTCTTGTTCATTACTGACTTGTATTCTACACAATTTAAGATGAGTATTGATTTTTAATACCTCTTTTAAACTTACTTTTATATTCTGACTTTCAAATGTACCATAATATTTACGATTGCCTAATGTGGATTTTGCAGGAGTATTTTAATACCATTGGATGGTCTAAGTATCTACTGCTGCTTGAAAGGGATGAATTGTGTATGGTGTGTGTTTAATGCTACATAGTGCCACCTCTCAATGTTGTAGCTGTGTTTTGGGACTGCAAGTTGTAAAATATACCGTCTGTGTTGCAGTCATGTGGACCTATTGGTGTTGCTGCTGTGTTTTGGGACTGCAGGTTGTAATGTGTGTGGTATGTGTGTGTTGCAGTCATGTGAGACCTATTGGTGGTGGTGTTGTCTTGGGCCTGTTTAGCTTATGCTTTTGCTACTTGTTTTATGCTTTGGGCAATTTACTGTGGCATTTTCTTAATAAAACAAGTATATGCTAATAATGGTCATTTCATTGCTTGCTGCTGCTTTAGAACAGGTCTGAAAAAAGGTATATCAACTCAGACTTCTCCTTCACTTGTTATACATTTGTAACAGAGTCTATGCTAATGGCCATCCTTAGCAAGGGCAGTGGAGGGGTGTGTTTGTATTGATGACATTAGTGTGAGTATTGGTGTTGCTGTATTGAGTTGACAGTGCAATGCAGGGGTCTGTTTGTGAGTATTGCTCTAGTGTGAGTATTGTGTTTTGGATCCTTTTGTGTAATGGATACTTTTTTCTATTCTTGTGGACAATGTTGATGGGTTAAATGACTTCAACCGTGGATCCATTTTATTGGTTACTTTTATTTATATTAAAGCTATGTTTGTTTTGGCGTAAAAAAAATTTTAAATTTTTTTTTTTTTTTTTTTAAGGTAAAACCATTTATCAAATGGAGCGGACTGGGACAATACTGAGCTAAGAGAGTATTTTTGTAATTGCATTACAAATTTAACGAATATAAATAATTAAACTATTTTTCAATCATGATAATAATTCCTTCTCTCTTATGCGGTGGATAAGAAAAGAATTCAAATTCTAAATTGAAACTTGAGATTTAATTTTATTGTAGGAACATCAAAATAATACATAAGTTCTCAAATAAGAATAAATACAAAAGAATATCTAGTGATTGGTATTGAATAACTTAAAATTTACTTAATATATATACCTAATATTTTTTAATATAAACTAAATTATTAGGATTTATTATAAACGGAGCAGGGCGACCTTGCCCGCAACCGAGTGAGTTTTCATTCCTAAGTCCCCCATCCCAGCCCAAAACCATTTAACCACCTCCCTTAACCATTCTAAACGGAACGGAGCGAGGTGTTTTGCCAACCCTACTCTCAACCCACCACCCATGAACGGCTAACAGCAACCTCACTCTATGGACCAGATCATGCCCCATTCCATCCCAACATGGTCGACGTCTCCAAATTTGTGGTCTTCGGCTGGTGCTTCGTCTCCATCTTGGCCTCCAACCGCCTCTTCATCGATCACCTCCATCCTGCACCATCTGATTTATATTTTCCTTGGTTTCTCAGAAACCAAACAGAGGGTTACAAGGGAGCACAAAAGGAGCTCCGTGACAAAGAAAATGGCTTGAGATATTACTCGAGACAAATTGCACAATTTGAAACCAATGAGACAGCAGAAAATATCTTCCCACAATATCAAACAAATATTGCACCATAGACAAACAAGAACAATTCTATGCTTACCGTTCTGTTTACCAGTAATGTGTGATAATGGGTTTGTAGAGAAATGTCTAAAACAAGTAAAGTTCATGTCTGAAACAACCAAATGCATCAATGGAGACCCTTTTGCAGCGCAAAGACGAAACCATTACAAATTTATTTATGTGAAAGCTCATGAAACACCTAAACCTATCCTAACAATATGATTCACACAAGAAAATTATGTTAAAAAAATTCTTAACCGGTATCACAAAATTGCAATTTCATATAAAACAGGTAAACCTGAATACCTGCTACTACCAGCTTCGCCAAATGGTTAGGATTCTCCACTTTGTATCACCCCCATTCGCACCCCAAATTTGCTATGCAATTAAATTAATGTTCAACATCACATATACAATATATGTGTGTGTTAGCGCGCAAGTGTGTGTGTGTGTGTGTGTAATGAGAGAGACAGGGAGGCAGAGTGGGGAATATCAAACTACACAACAGTAGATCATTTTGAACTGAGAGTATTTGGTATTCATCATCAAAATTGGGCACACCGCAGTTTTAAATCATCCAAACAGACTTTCTAAAAAAAATAAAAAAATTAACATAGTTCACCATTTAATTTTTTGGAAGACTAAAGCAATACAACGTTGAAGGTGCAAAACATGAGGAACACCAGAAATCTCAACCCACACTATTCCATATGAGTTTTTCAGGTTGCTTGGTATGTCCAAATTTGAAATTCTAAACAAGTTACTTGGGAAACAAAAATATACTAAGAGGGGGGAGAAAAAGAAAAAAAAAATGTAAAACCTGAGCATTAAAAATTGAATCATATCCATAGAACTTGTAATAAAAACTCTATACCGTGTCACAATTAAAATAAAGTTAACCAAATTATGTATTGCAATAATTTACATGTCCAAAACCAGTAAATAAAATTTGACCAAAGAAAAAACAATAATACAATGTCACCAAAGAGTAAAACATGACATAACTAGTTTAAATGGCAAAACTGGAAAGTATAGTAGCCAATTGTATCAACCTGAAATGGTACTGCTTCTGAATTCTACAAACAAAATTAATCCAAAAAATAAAGCATGACTATTTTCATACCTAGTTTAAAAGGTCTAGCCTTAAAAGATCAAAGGTCCTTGAGCATCAGACCCATAGCAGCTTGGCTGAGTCGCTTTAAGACACTAGCATTCACAGTATAAATTTATTGGACTTGATCATAAGGTTTAACAAGAAAATTGCTACAAATAAAAAAATTTTAAAAAAAATAAAAAATAATAATAATCATACTCTGAACCTGCTTCACTCAGCCCATAGATTCACCTGGCTCTAAAGTAGGCAAGATTGCCGTAGCCTCACCATCAAGAACAAGTTGGTCATCATTTTTGAAACACTTCGTTGAGAATTTTACACTGATATATATGAACCAAACACTAGAGTCAAAACCAATCAGATGCACTTCATTTCTAGAAAACGAGAGAGAATGGTCCAGTTACTTACATGTATTTCTTCTTGATTTCTCTTATATTAGTTGCCTGTACAACACCAGTAATATCCTCTCCAATATGGACTGGCAACCTGAACTGCAGGCTCTGTGAAACATAAACAGCTCCAGGCTGCACAATACCCATTATAACACTATCAACATAGACGTGTGTCACGGAACTCGAAAGGGCTTGAAAAAAATTTCTAAGCCCACCTAGGATGGAAGTAATACTGTTACAAAATTATCATGACTGCAGATTGTTAGTGACATTGAATTGCTTGTTACTGTCTACCGAGTAAAATCATATAACCACTAATCATCGTTATCAGCGCCTTTATCCCATATTGATGGGGATCGTGTAACCCCTAGTCTTATGAGATAGTAATTGATAAACTTACTTTGCCTTTTTTTTTTTTTTTTTGGGTAAGTAATAAATTTACTTTGCCTTTAAATTTATTTTCTCCAATCATATGACAAAAATCATGTGATGACAATCAACGGTCGAAAGTGCAAATCTCAATTCTGACCTACTTGTAAGTATTGCATCTTATCCATATGATAAACCTAAGCAATCACACTTGCATAGCCTTTCAACTAAATGTTATTCTGGGAGAAAGGGTAGAAGGTAAAAAATGATGCTCTCCCTCATAAATTGAAGTTGATACCTGTGCTCCGTATAATCGAAGCAACTTTTGCATATTTTTTTCTTTTGCAGCTTTCTTCTGAGGGAGTGAAGAACATACAAAGTTTGGAAAAGTATCCTAACAAACAAGGTTGAATACATGATGATGGAAAAATAGTAACCGAAAAGAAAGAAGGGGGTGAGAATGAGAAGATCAGATGAGGACAGATGAGAGAGGTGAGAAGACAGACGAAGGGGATGATAAGATAGAATGAAGGGGGGTAGGCCGGAAAGACCGAGACATTAAGAATAACAAGAGGAGGGAGAAAAGATACAGGGAGAGTTCGCAAACTCACAATAACAATTCAATATTCCAAAAGCAGAAAAGTTTAGTTAATAGAAGCTTTTATATAGGCAAAACATTAACCAAACCCTAAAACATGAAAATACCTAAATAACCTTAAAATTCAACCAATATAAAAAAACCAAAAACAATAAAAATAAACCTAATTATATCAAATCCCTAATTTTATATATCTTTGCCCCTTTTTCTAAAGTAGTGGCGGAACAGGTGCGGCCCATCCATTTTTTTTTGATAAGTAAAGATATATTAAAAAAACGTTCAAAAGGGGAACGCGTCCCTAATACAGAAAAACGAAAAGCAGAAGCCAAACCTACGGACCAACAGAGTCCAATAGAACAAAAAAATCATCAATCAAGGAGCAAACGTTGCCTCTAACATAACAGAAAAGAGAGCGTAGAATAAGAGATTTAAGGTTTGCAAAACACGATTCCTTCCCTTCAAAGTGTCTGTTATTTCTTTCTCTCCAAATACACCACCAAACACAGTGTGGGGCGATCCTCCAAAAATCACGAGCATGACCAGAAACAGGGCATCTTCTCCAAGCATTAATTAATTGGAAAGAGTGCTTAGGCATTACCCACTGAACACCAAAAATGCCGAATATGAGATTCCAGCAATCAGTTGCAACAGGACAGTGCATAAGGAGATGGTCCACGGACTCACCATCAGTTTACAAAGGCAGCAACAGTTAACAATGATAATACCTCTCTTACGCAAATTATCCAATGTTAGAATTTTTCCCAAGGTAGCTATCCAAACAAAGAAGGCAACTCTAAGAGGAGCTTTAGATCGCCAAATACACTTCCATGGGAAATCATGTCCAATAAAATTAGACAAACACAAGAACATGGATCGAACTTCGAATCTACCATAAAGAGAGAGGGTCCACAAAATATCATCACAACCTCTGCCAACATCCTTCTGTCTATACAACAGGTTCAAAAAGACACAAACTTCAGCTATCTCCCAATCCTGAAAAGAACGCCTAAATCGCACATCCCACGTGACTCCACTGCTATCAAGATGATAACAGTCAATTACGCAAGCATGCTTATTCTCGGCAATGCTAAAGAGACGAGGAAAGGAAATAGACAACAACTGATCACCACACCATAAATCTTCCCAAAATCTAACATACCTACCATTTCGAACCTTGAACCGAATATGGGTGCAAAACACGTCCCAACCTTTCCGAATGAACTTCCAAACGCCAACGCCCCCGGTAACAGAAATTTTCTTGCAAGCTCTATTCGATGAAATACAAAGTATTTTCTGGAGATGAGGTAAAAGACGATGCTTTTTTCTCATAAATAGTGTTTTCAGTATCACAATATGAATGATGAAAGCAACACAAGGACTTTTTTTATAGCAACTTTCTTCTGGGTGCATGCACAACATACAAAGTTCAGAAAAGCATACTAACAAACAGTATTTAGCTACATCATATGAACTTCAGACCAGATTGTTAATGAGGCACTTACTAAAACATGAGACTTTTTCCTTGTTTATTTATTTAATTTTTCAGGAAACAATTGCTCACTGAAACATATGGAAAGCATAAATCTCTGTTCAAAGACTACTGTTGGAATGTGTTCTATTATCTCAGTTCTATAAACACAATCCTTTGATCCAATTGATTTAAGCATTGCTTATTCCTACACCATAAATTAAATAAGTTAACAAAAAGAAAGAGACGTAATTGTAAAAGTTGACTTACATAATGAGAAGCAATGATCCTAGGAAATAAGGAAGCAACAAGCATTCCATGAACAAGCCGATCTCCAAAACCAGCATTCCGAGCACAATCGGAGTCGAAATGCAGAGGGTTTGAATCACAGCTCAGCTTTGAATATTCAACAACATCTGCATTTGAGAATGTCCTTGCCTGTTTTAAAATGTCTCCAATTTTAAGCCTACTTGATGCCGACGATGAAGAAAATCCAAAGGAAGGAACAAAGATCGAAAGGAGACGCTTCATATGCATCATTCTGGAGGTTTCTGATAGGAGATAGACTAGTGCTTATGGGATCGGCAAAGAATTCGCTCGCTACAAATGATCAAGCGTGGTTCCTGCTGCGAGTTAAAAGATAAAAGCATGCTATTATAAACTCAAATAAGTTACAGGAAAAAAAAAAAAAAAAATGCAGCTTCGGGTACAAAATGGTTCCCACTCAAAATTTGGATAAGAGTGGCAGTTGGTTTTCATTTTCTATCTTCTGACTATTCTTTATATAACCACAGAAAAAACGTTTTGCTTGGACCTATAAGAAGCCGACCAAGCAAAAAAAATTATAAACAATAAACAATTCTATGTTGACTATAAGAAACATTTCTTTGTATTTTTAGTAATTATATATTAATTGTTGGAATAAATATTACTGTGTTTAGATTATCAAAGAAAAAATTGTTTTCTTAATATAGCTAAAACTGAGACAAGAAAGGCACCATGCAATCCCCAACAAGGCAATAAAACATTGAGGTAATTTAAGCAACATGTTTTAAGGTAGCATCCCATTGTATGTGATCAGAAGTTCAACATTAGCTAATAACTTTACATCCAGAGATATCATGCATATTTCATATATGAATACCGTTAGAATGGTTGAACCAAGCTGAGCCAAGCTTGGAGGTGTTCGGGGTCGACTCGACATATATTTGTGAGTGTTCGGAGCCTAGTTCAGCCCTAAGTCACATAAAGCGGGAGAGAGAACGAGAGCGGGAGCGCAAAAGCGGAAAAATATAAAATTCGGTCAAAGCGGGAGCGCCTCTAGCACGCTTATACATTTGTATGCCATTCACTAAAAAATGTGTTTGAGCCACAAGTAACCTCATTTCTTCTGTGTAAGGAGATACATGATATTAATAATAATTAATATATATAAAAATTACAGTATATTTTTATTTGTAAAGAAATGCAACCTCAGAAATCTATATATTTATTCTAGATTCTTTAAGACGTATTGTTTAAATTTTCGTACATGAAATGAATACCTTAAAGAATTATAAAAAAATAAAAAAATTAAATTAAATTAAGGGTCTTAAATACAAATAAAGAAAAAATAAAAAGAATTTGTATACTTTGTTTGCATATATATGTGTCTATACACTAACTAGACACACCCATTTAATATTTTTAGACTTAAATAACAAACAAAAATGATGAATATACATCGAACAACAATATCACAAGGATTTTTTTTTTTCGTATTGTAGGTTTATTATGAGTTCTACACATTTCTAATTGTTTTTATTTAGGATTAGGAACATTTTGGAAATTGCCTTCAATAGTAAATTATTTAGTTGTCCATAATTCAATGAATGAGAAATTGTTGTGAATTCGAGAATTGACAAAATTGAATTCGTGAATTGACAAAAAAGTGCTCTCAGAGCGTCAATTTGTGAACAAAGCACCTCTTTAGAAGGATTATGAATCAAACTCGGCTCAACATTATTTAGGTAAACTTGTGCTCGGCTCGGCTTGTTTAAGTTTTTTTAATTATTATTTTTATTTAAGCGTGTGTATATACTGGATAATGATAACAAAAAAAAATTCATATGCATAGTGACCATGGGATGTAAAAAGGTTAGTTCCCAAAAACAAATAATAATAACAATCATATCAAACGGTGTATACATATACACACGTACATATACACTTCACAATCTGCACACACACATATACACTTCACAATTTGCATATATATATATATACACACACACACACGTATACATTTACACAAGTATCTAACTCGTAAAAGAATTACCGGTTGAAGATTGGTGAATGGCGATCTATCCGATTGATGTATTGCGATTTCCACAATTTTTTAACCACTTTGGGCAATTGAGTTACTTTGGTTTGAGTTTGCCGATTGGCAAGGGCGGAGCCAGGATTCAATGTAAGGGGGGGCTGTAGTATTAACAGTTTTACCAATATAATATAATAATATTTTAAGTCAAAAGTACTTCATAATCGATTAGATGCACACAAAAATATATCTACCCAAAATTTGGCCAATTTGTTTACAAAACAATAATTGGCCTATATCTAGTCAAATATGACATAGACATATACAAAAAGAAACCTGAAAGACCAAACAACTACTACAAAAGCTGAGCTCGACAATCTTTTAGAGAACCGAAGAAAGAAATTGGGGTTCCCAATGCTTCTCCACGCCCAACGAGATGCGAAAAATCATCTATAATTGAATCTATAGTAATTTCTTTTGCAATACTGACTAATTTAAAAGTCAAATGTAATTTAAACCATCAATCCTAAATTCCTAATAAGCATAACTGAGTAAAAATAAATTTTTTTTTTTTTTTTGATAAGTATGATTGAGTAAAAATAATATTGCGCCGTCATTGCATATAAAACAACTATTTTTTTTTTTTTTTTTGATAATTAATATAAAACAACTAATTTATAATATATAAAAGTTATCACCATAAATTGTGCGCCTGTGCAGTGTCTAAAAAATAAATTGTGCACAGTGCAGAGTATAAAAAATAAATTGTGCGCATCTGAAGTGTCTAAACAATAAATTGTTCGCCTGTGAAGTGTCTAAACAATAAATTGTAAGCAGCCTTTTTCCCAACTACTTGGGATTGATTATAAGAATCCTAGCTCTATATTTTTTGCATCATATGGACCAATCTGCCTAAAAATTTATACAGGAGTAGATTTTGCATATAGGGACAAAAATATGCATGCTAAACTCGATGTAGAACTCCTACATTTGACTTATAACCTCTAAAATAACAACTTTTTTGCATTATGTTCAAGGAAAAAAAACATAATAACTGATCACAGAAGCCACAAAGCCAAATGTAGTGCATTTTAAATCACAAGATGAAGTACAAGTGTTGACAAGTATGTACAAACATTTTAAAAATATACCTGATATTATTTTTCAAAGGCTGGAGGTTTATATCAATTGTATCTAGTAAACAAGAACCTCCTAGCAGTTCGAGGAGCATATAGCAGCATTCCAAAAATCATACATTTGAATTGTCAGTGAAAAAAAAAAAATTAGAACAAGTATTTTCAGGGGAAAAAAAAACTATAACAATACAGACTTAATTCGAAATAAAAAAATTGGATTCATGAGCCGACCTGAGTTGAGTTGAATATCAATAGACTTCTTTTTTGAATGTGCAAATATCACAGAATCTATAAATTTTGTTAATTTTGGACTTGGAAAAGTGTGGATGTAAATACGGTCACCAAGTCAATATAGCTACATAATGCACACAAGTAAAAAACGAATCTGTGTATCCTAAAAGTATGTGCACAAAATCCCAACATCCATAAATTATGATATATATATATATAAACTACCTGATGGGAAAAAAATCTATAAATAATCAGAAACAAAATCAGAGGAACGAAATTACCTTTGAAGCAATATCAAACAAACCCTCCAAGCAATTCAGAATTCTTGCGACCTCGCCGACGAAATCAATACAGTCGATCGGTGCACCGCGACCGATTCGCCGTTGGCTTGTTGTGACAACGAGGGTTATTTCCATCTTGAAAAGAGAATGAAATGAAAGAGACTTGGGCCTTAAGGGCTTGGATCCTTTGAAATTTTAATGGGCCTTAAGGGTTTATTTTTTTAAAAGGAATAAAATTATAGATAAGTGGGCCTGGCCCGTTTTTATGTGGGCTGATCTAATATCTATATATTATATATAGTACGAGTTCAAATCGAGTATTTAAACGAATTTGTTCATGAGCATGTTTGCAGACAAACGAGTCGAATAGAAAATTGTTTGAGATTAGCTCGTTTGTCTAAGAATTATATTTGAGTTTGGTTCGTTTGGTAAGTAACCAATACAAATTATATCGGTTCATTTACAGCCCTATACTATGTTACGTAATATGCTATATATTTTTTCCGAGGACAAAACATGTCAACAAAATGGTCCTGCATAAAATATTATAAATCAATTTCTTTACAAGGAGTGCCAACACCTCCAATGACGTTCAAAAACACACCAAATTGGAGAAAAAAGACAACACAAGTGATTTCATTTTGAATTGATGTAGATACACATATTATGGAATACACTCGAGAGAAGGAACCAATTTTACAAGTGCGGTGTAAAGTCATAAATATAATTATAAAAAGTGAATTAACCAACCATTGATCTATGTCATAACAAATTTTTCAAGTGCTGTGTAAAGTCATAAATATAATTATAAAAAGTGAATTAACCAACCATTGATCTATGTCATAACAAATTTTTCAAGTGCTGTGTAAAGTCATAAATATAATTATAAAAAGTGAATTAACCAACCATTGATCTATGTCACATCACTAAACCTATATAAGCAATTTTTAAAAAAAATTAAGACACTGCGTCTACACTATAGTGTGACTTTAGGCCACACAAACACACACTCATAAGTAATAAGATTCATAAGAAGGATAGAGCGCAAAAAAAAAAAAAAAAAAAAAAAAAAACTCTTAACTATGTTCGAATTTACAAATAACCTCCTCAGTTATATTTTGTGCATATTACCCTTCGAACTATTATATTTCGTTGCAAAATGCTTCAATACTTAAACTATGTTTCAATAAATGGCCACAATACATTTTTTTTATTGAATTACACTTAATCTATTTTTCTTATTGTTATAAATTATGAAACAATACATAAATTTACCTTTAATTTTGAAAATTAATTATTTAAATAAAAATCTTAATTAGAATATATTTTTTAAAAAAATAATTAATTTCTTGAATTTTCATGAATATATTACATGAAAAAGAAGATAGTTTTTATTTAAGTAATTTATTAAGTTTTCATTAATATATTGTATGAAAAAGAATGTATTTTTTTGCGGTAAAAAAGTTTAAACTGGGTATAATAAATTTATTATAAATAATAAAATTTTAATAATAAGTTAATCATTTTAGAAAATGGTAATTACAAATCTTTTTTTTTCCATTTTTATGATAAATTTATACTGATAATAAAATTAAGGTAACTAGTATAATTACTATTTATGTAAGAGAAAAGACGATAAACATAATTTAATAAATTAATCAAAAAGGGTAAAATAGTCTTTTATAATGAGTTTGTCCTTAATTGTAACAAATCAATAGTTCAGGGAGTAATTTTAAATTCAAGGAATTATTTGCAAAAAAATAATAGTTGAAGGGTTTTTTAGAACTTTACCCTAATAAGAATTATAAGTTCAATATTTGGCAAATCTATTAGCTACAAGCCTACAATTGACTTGGAAAAAATCTATTTGCTACAACTACAGCCTCCAAGTGAATCTGAAAAGAAGAAGCATAAGGAACACATTGGGCACATTTAGGCAATCACAAATTCACAATTCAAGACATTCATGAAAATACCCATTAAATCATATATATATATATATATATGCACACAAATACATTAAAATTATAGATATATAAGTGTCACCTTTTAGCAATTGACAAGAATATAATGTTACTAAGGTGTTGCTCCACATTAGTAGTGAAAGTATGGGATTCAAGTGTATTGGACTAGCGATCTTAGGTCCCTACTTTTTAAAAGGAGGTCAAGAGTTCGAGTATCAATAAAGACATGTATGTATGAATGCCAACTAAGGAGAAAAAAAAAAAACAAAACAAAACAAAACAAAAAAAGTATGGGACTCAAGAGTCGAAGAAACAATAGGAATAACAAATATAACTCAAAACTCAAAGTTTGGTATTCATCTCCGATTCAGTAGATGTTGTCAATATACTTGAAACATTACATCTTTAGAAACAAATAGATGCATTTACAAAATCTGGATCGCACTTTTGGATCCAATACCCTCTAGGGCACTTAAATCAAGAATGTCACACCCATACAACAACGTTAAATCAAGGATACAACGTTACATTTAGGCCATGTTTGGTGTGAATAAATTGAATCAAATAAAGTGGGAATGGAATGCTTTATTTTCCATTCTTTAGTTTGGTAAGTAACTTTAAAGTTGGAATGATTATTCTTGCCTATTCTCTGAGAATGGTGAGTCTCACTAATTCATTTCACTTTCTAACTAAAGGAATGACCATTTCATTCCCACTTTAAAAAAAAATTTAAATAAATAAATAAAACATTTAATGAAACGTCAGCTACACACATATATACATGTGTGTGTGGGTGTGTGTACAAAAATATGATGTTTTTCTGTGCAACCAAACATGGGAATGAGAATGGTCTATTCCCATTCTATTCTTTGATTCAATCCGTCCATTCCCATTCTATTCTTTGATTCATTCCATTCCCACTTTATTTCATTAAACCACACCAATACAGCGAAGATATAAAGGCGTTGCATTCTTGATTTAATCGAGAATACAAGAAGTAAAATTCCAAAACTACCACCTCACCTAATTATTAGGACCTTTAGAGCAACTCCAATGCTATATCATTTGGTCCTCTCAAACTCAAAATATGAAAGTTGGGTAAAAAAATGCCTCTCCAATGGGCTTTTATTTGGGCTCTTAAATTTTGAGATTCTCAAATTTCCTCTCACATGTAGCAATTCTAATTTTTTTTAGTAAGTCCCTCATTTCCTAATACGATGTCATTTCTCTTATTTATCTGTGAAATCACAATCTAAAATATCACCTATTCGCATCTCTCTCTCTCTCTCCTTGTCTGTTGCAATATAGATAAAGAAAAGTTCCGGGAAAATCATCCGATCTGAACCAGAGGAAGAAAATCGATGACGAAAAGAGGGCTACTGATGGACCTCAATTTCGATCTTGACAGTTCCTAGCGGTTAGATCAGATCTTCGTCTCCTCCAATCCTACGTCGCCGTTCCTTCTCACGTCCTCAGTAACCCTCTTTTGCAAAGCTGGCCTAACTTTAGTTTTTCTTGGTTGGGAACGGATTCTTCTCTCTCTCTCCTTATCTGTTACAATATGGGTTTTGAACTTCTGAGTCTTGTTAATTTTGTAGTTTGTGGTTGGAGAGAGATAAAGAGGGGGGGCAATTTCAGAGTTAAGAGCGAGAATAAAGATGGAGGCAATTGGGGAGGCAAAAATGATTTGCCCTAAAAATATATAAATTTTTAATAATAATATAATCAAATATATATAATATACATATATATATATATAATATATAAATTTTCGAAAATAAAAAAAAATTTATATAAAAAAATTAATTCATAAATAGTGGTAAAAAAATTATAAAAATTTTGTTTTTTTTTTTTTTTTTTGGTCCTTTTTTTACCATATATTTAGATTTTTGCTTCTTTTTAATTAGATTTAACTTTAGTTTCCTTCTAATGTCTACAACTTGACTTGGTATTAGGTATACAAATATGAATGGTGGGAATGGTAGTTAATAAAAAATGATGGTTATGTTAAAAAATAGCATTTTGCATAAAATGCATAATTGGAACAGAATTGCTAAAATGTAGCATTTTAACACTGTAACACCTATCAAAATATAGATTTGGTATGCGAAAATAACTTTGAGCATTAGAGATGCTCTTATACCCTTAATCATTATTTGAATTACAAACACACACACACTCAAATTTCTCTGCAACCATCGTCTCTCTGTCTCTCTTCCACTTCACCACCGCCAATACCACCACTTTTCTCTATTCTCTCCACCACACCATTGCGGCAATCATCATCATTCGATTATACAGGTAACTCAACATTGATTCATAATAAAAGGCTTAAAAGCTCATTTTGATACATTAAAAATTATATAAGAATTATTGTTTGTAAAAGACACATTGACAATATATACCCAAAACCTTACATGAATTCACTCATTCCTAGCAAAATTGCATCAATTTTTGTTGTCCAAATCACTTGGTCTAGAAATCAACAATGCTTCTATTTCACCCCACCTAAGTTATATCTCTGAGTAACATTAAATCTTTCCAGGTCTTAGAATCAAATTTAGCAAGCATCTATCGTCATGAAAAACCTACATTATTTATTTAAATTAAAGCTAATTACTTCATATAGTTCAAGGAAGACCATTTTGTGTTTTCTTTTCTTCTTTTTCAAATCTGATAGAGATTGGGTTACAACGATCCAGGATGGTACTATTTTTTATAAACTTACATTGATGTGGTGTATATCTGTCGATGGGTCGAATTCAGATCGGATTGGATCGATTAGGTCACATCCAATCTGAATCCGATAAGCATTTTACTCGATCCGATCTGATTTGATAATTCGACGAATTTTTTGTAAGTTAATCCATATCCTATTGTTAATAAACGGATATCGATCCAACAAAAATGTGATTTTTTATTATTAAAAAAAAATGATAGAAAACAAAAGATAAATAAAATATGAAAGGAAAAAAAAAAGTGTAATTTACTCTTTGTGAATGAATAAATATTATGACATTATTAATATGTATATTAGGAGATTTATTAGTATGTGATCTCACATATAACATTATGATTAATGGTTTTTTTGTTACATCTAAAATAAATCTGATAACAGTATGATTAATGTTTTTTTTGTTACATCTAAAATAAATCTGATAA